ATCTATAGAGCTATGATGATTATAATCAACATGTGCATGTTTGTCATTGTGATTTATTTCTATGAGGTTATTACAGCATTTAAAGAGCACAGACCTACGCACAAGGAGGTGTATTGTGAAAGCCTTGGTAAGAAAATGATGGACTTCAAACTATAAAGTTAACCATCAAAGAAATCAGACGTTGAAGTACAGAGAATAGCCTATATTAATCCATATATCACAGCTTAAATAACATCAGGTTTAACTCATTATTCCTATTATTAATATATGTAATGTTCATGGTTAAAGTAAATGTTAGCAGTTATCACTATAACACTGCATATAGAGATGCTAAGTTAGTCACAAAGTTATTGTTACTATTTCACAGTAAACTTCTATTTAGGTCCGTCTGTTTATGAAAAATGTTTCACCATCAGTATTTTAAGTATTTCCATTTTCTTCTGCTACAGAAGTCTGGGGCCCCGGGCTCCGAAAGGAGCAACTCCTCAAAGAGCAGCCAACCCAGGCAGCCAACCCTCCAAGCTTAAGCTTAGCCAAATGTTTTGATATTCATATTTTGTTCAAATGTTTAATATATCTGCTGTTCATATGTTCATTTCATTAGTGTCCTATATGGATTAAACATGTTGTCCGATTTTAAAATAAAGCACAGCAATGATATTTGAGAGTGTTTCTCCCTTCTTCAGGAAAAGTATCGAAAAAGTCTCGAAATCGCAATCTGACTTGGTATCGGTCTCGAAACAATAATTTTGGTTCGTCGAAACACTACCTGGTATACACACAAACACTACAGTAATTATCAGCTATGTGAACAAAGTGGGCAAAACTGCTGCATTTTGGGAAACATACTACATTTTTCCAAAACAACAGATCCAATATGGTTCAATATGGAGCAAACCATCAATTCCTTCATCGTAAGGGGAACATTGATCTCAACCAAAACGCAATTTAGCTACACTGGTTCTCGGCATATTCAGTAGTTGTATGGTATCCTTTTAATGATAGCAATATAAATACTTGCTCATCAATATGATACTTATTCGTAATAATAATAATAATATTGAAAACTACTTGCAAAAATGTAGTGCAAGGACATGAAAAGAATGTGAAAAAGATTCAGTTTTGCATGAAATAAGCTTAAACCATTCATGATTATGCATTTCGCTGCATCTTCAAAAATGTAGTAATGTGAGCCCACACTTTAGAACATTTATAACGATAACAGTATCGTATTGTCCAGGAGCTTACGGGCATTTCGTTACTGACAGTTAGGAAACTGGTACCTAGTTTAGTACCTATTCATCTCGATACCCATCGCTTTAGTCCAGCATCTCCGAAACTGCTATCTGAGCTTAGCGTTCTGAAAAGAAGGAATGCAAGGTATCACAACATAACTAGGAAAATACTGGCCATTAACGCTAAGTTACCAATTGGGGGAAACGCACCACACATGACAAAATGAGAATTTGCATGCAACTTGGAATAATCCAAAAGTCAAACACACAAAGCTGCGGAGACTTACAAAACGTTCCCGCTGAACGCAATGCTTTTCTTGATGTTAACAACCAGCAGCATAACAATTATCCTATCAGATCACAAGTCAACAATGACGGAGGTGTGTTGAAGATTACAGCTCGGAGCGGTCAAACACACAGCTCCGTATGGCCCAGTGACCCAAAGAATGCAATTGTTCCCTTATTTCCCTGATGCTCTGTGTTTGGAACACATATCCCCGCCGCCTGCAGGCATCCTTAGAACTGAAGCTATTTCAGCACTTACAGACGTGTGGGGACGATTTAGTGTTTTAAGACTCAACCTGTGGGGGACTGTGGCAATGCTGGAGTATGACAAGCAAAAGTATTTGCTGCAGTTCTTGTAAATGAATGTAGTGTTGGCTCTAAAATCAGTGCAGAATGAATGAAAATCTTACTTAAGCTGCTTTGACTACCAGATTTAAGAAAGTGCTATGATAGTCATGTGTCCAAATTATATATTCTGGACCTTTGACAACTGCTGCACAGCTCTGAGGCATTTCAATTATCTCTGGTATAATTGTGGTTGTACAGAAGAATAGGGCTCAAGTCAGTCTTTGTCTCGAGACATTTTTAATATTATGTCAGACTTGTCTCTGTATGTGGATGTTTTTGATCTGACTTGTCTGGTGGTCGTGTATGGATTTTGACCTGTGTCTGGGTTATTTTTACTCACGCCTGTCTCCATCTCAAAAGGCGTTTACCTAACTTGTCTTGATGCCGTGGGTGGTTTGTTGTGGATTTGCGTCTTAGACTCGACTCCCATTTGACTCAGTTTTAATCAGTACACTGACTTGACTTAAGTGGGGTTTACCCTAACCCTAACCGTTAACTAAAATGTTATATTGTATTGCTGCCAATAGTGTCTGACAACGAGCAATTCGATTCAATTCAATTCAGTTTATTTGTATAGCCCAATTCATAACAGAAGTTATCTCAGGACACTTTTCAAATAGAGCAGGTCTAGACCAACTCCTTTTAACATTTACAGAGACCCAACAGTTCCACCATGAGCAAGCACTTGGCACGGGGGCAAGGAAAACTGCCTTTTAACAGGCAGAAACCTGGACAGACCCTTCAGCTCTAGGTGGGTGGTCGTCTGTCTCGACCAGCTTTCAGCTATGAAAGAAGCTCACTTTGAGTGAATTTTCTAAGCAACCATTATCAAACTGCAGCCACCTTTGTACTTGTGATTACAGGAGCAATTTTTAGCTTCAAGTGCACTTTTAAACTAGCGTTGTTGTCTACCTTCAGATAAGACTTTTTACGTCAGTTGCAGTAGGATCAGTACAAGCTACGGAGGAAGTATCTAATATCATTCGCCAACATGAACTCCTGATTACATTAAGTCAATTCTGTGGTTAAGTGAAGCAATGAGTGAGAACTAATGAGGTATTGTTGGGTAAATGTGATGCTTTGAATCTAACAAAGCACAGAGAACACTCTTTACACAAAAAAAATATTTTTTCCTGTTAAACTGCCAGATACTTTTGACTGGATATTTTTAGCCTGACCTTTCCTCTCCATTATAACGATGAAAACTACACACTCACATTTACACTCACTCAGACTGAGGTAGAGTCAGTGTGAGCCACACCTTGCCACATTCAGTCTCACAATCAGCTGCCTCTGATTTACACTGACATCTCAGTGCGGGGAAATCGCTCCAGTTGTGGCTTTCGGTAAAGGCAGGCGGCGTAAGGACTACAATGGGAGTGGGTAGGGAGGTTAAAGGAGTAATGATTTATTCCCCACAGGAGAGATGTGAGGCATTCATCACCAGGAACAAAAAAGCCTGTAGCACTGTTTGAGCTGTGGATGTTAGCGCAGCTGCTAGACACAGACAGCAATACAACCTGCACTGAAAAGATGCCTTGCTATAACACTAAAGACAGAGGCTTTAACCAAGGACTTCTGCCAGCAGGGCTGTCTTATTATTGGATGCTTGGATCTTATGACATTTTTTTTTAGCTATTTAATAAATTGAATTTTATATGCAAATAGGACAGCAAACACGCATCAGATATTACACACAATGCATTTTAGGTCAAATGTACTCAATTTCAACGTTTGTATTGTAGGATAATACAGCAATATCAAAGCAGTGTTCAAGCCCATACAGTAGATAGACTTATTACTATAGTATTTTTTTTACCTGAATAAAATCATAGAAATGATAGCCAAACACTAAAAAGTCTGTACAAAGGAAGACAGGGATGTTACCACTAATACCAGAGTAATTGCAGTAGGAATTAGGGCTGCATCATATGTGTATATATTGACAGATATGGCGATTGCGATATGATTTAGGCCATTGGTGTGGGACTGATCGTTTTTGCATCACAAATAAAATTTTCAGTGAAAAAACTATTTCAATCATGATTTTTTTTAGCAGTCTCTACCGAACAAACATCAGTTTCTGAAAATCTGGAGAGCAAGATTTGTAGGCCAGGGCAGTACTTCATTATAATGCGGTTTTGTCACACATTTGAACTTTATTTGCATATTGGTCATATTGTGATTTCAAATAATATGGGGATTTATTGTGCAGCCCTAGTAGGAATGTAAAGATATATGGTGAGACCAGGGTTGGGAGGATCACTTTAAAAATGTAATCTGATACAATTACTAGTTACCTGTTAAAAAAAATGAAGTCAGTAACGTAATCCAAGTAACATAGTATTAAAGTAACTTGATTACTTTCCATACTTGTGGATTACCTCAATACTGAATATGTAAATAAAACCAAGAAAAAAGAAATATCAATAAGAAGCATTGTTATAAGTGTATTCTATAAAAACAACAGAATAATGGAACCTTTGAAAAGATGATGGGAAAAAAATGAAACGCTTTTTGGGTATTTCTAAATTCAAACTGATGTATTTTAAAATCGCAATCTTGCTAAATAATCCCCATTAAGTAAATTACTAAATGTAACTGTAATCTGATTACATCTTTTTTATCCTGTAGCCTACCTGTAATGGATTAGTTAAGTTACCTGTTTTAAGTAGTCCGTATTGCCGTTACATGTAATCTGTTACTCCACAAGCCTGCATGAGCCAGTTATCGTGATATCAATCGATCAGTTTCACTTACAGGACGCTTTGTTTAAATAATATATATCATTTAATATATTAGAAAATCTTTTTCAGTCATAATTTTGTTTATTTTTTTTAAAATAAAACCGTATGGTGAAGTGTATGGAACCGTGAGCGGAGTGCACCCATACTGTAAGGTGCAGTTTAGCTAGCTTCATTCATTCAGCAGCAGTTTGTTAAACTTGCCTTTCAAACTGAATTAGCCCAACGCAACACCCAGGTGCACCGCAGCAACACACCCGCCAAAAACGAGCCCGGTATGAAGCGACACTTCCCAAGCCTCCTGTCGTGATTTTGAAGTGAGAAGCCATGAAATAAAACAATACATATGTAAATGTGAAGCTCGACGCGCCGTCAAACAGCAGCCTACCTCTCGTTTGACGTTCCATAATAATTTCTCTTTGTGGTCTTCCACCGTGGAGCCCTCCATGTCTGCCTGTCCTGTCCGTCCGCGGTGTGTGAGCACGACACAGGTCTGTCTCTCTGACACCGTCTCTCCGGCGCTGTCAGTCCGCTGTCCCCGGCCTTTTTTAGTGAGCTCTCTTTGCTTTTTATTCCTCGTTTCCTTCTTCCTTCGCTCAGCTGGACTCTGACGCAGCCGAGCAGCTTGGCGGCGACGTCAGAGGATCCGCCTTCTCCGCGATACTGATCAATGGAGGAGGGAGAGCATCCAGCCCCGCCCCGCCCCGACCTGCAGCCTCCCAGCCTCCCAGCATCCCACACACCAACCTGTAGAGCCTCCAAGTTATTTATAGCACCTCCTTTCTCCTCTCCCGGCCGGGGGAGAGTTACAGCAGGAGAGCCGCTCTCTTGTGAGAAGGTGTGAAACGCTGGTATGGAGAGGTTTGTGTGCGGGTTGTAATAATTCATTTATATGTTGAGCAGACATGTTAATGCGTTTGGTGAGCTCATTGAAAGGCTTGTTCATTCACTCTGACGAACAGTGCCACCAACAATCCCTGTACAACAACCCGACTCTATTATCTACATTACCTGTAAACTATTTAAAAAAAACCATAAATACTGTCATTCAAACACATATAAGCATGCTGTGCACATTGTATATACTGTCATATCTACCTAGTCTACCTCATGTACACACAAATATCTGCACCGAAATATTCATTCCAGCATCCTTTGCACTCTGCGCTATAGTCTACAAATGTTATTGCCTTTGTTTATGTTTTTATATGTAACTGTACACTGTACATTTTTTACAACTGTAATATTCCAGCAGCTGGGGCTCCAATTAATACTGTAAAACAACAGAAAATAACTGACTTGTAAAAATACAGTAATTTTCTGTAATTAATTTAGTTTTCATTATACATAAAATCTTTTGTTTAATTAAAAATATTGTAAATGATATGTAAAAACGTTTTACCTAGATTACCTATAACTACACTGCTGTAATACAAGTAATTATGCTTACGTTTAAAGAAGAGTGCTTTTATTATTTGATCTTTCTTATTTTAATCTGAATTTTTAAAGTTAATTAAATACATTTACAATTACATTAATAATTAATTACAGTAATTTACCAATGCTTACACATTGATAAAAATATTTATGCAATGTTTTTTATTGTGAAAATACAATATAATATAATTACACAAGATATCTGTCTTCAAACTTGAATTTAACAGTCTAATCTATTAAAAAAAAATAATATCTGTCTTTTTACTTGAAAAAAGGAAACTTTCTTTAAATAAGCAGTCATTTTATGATTATTTACAGTTACAGATTATTTTACATTAGACATGTAAATTCACAGACTATTTTTGTAATTTTATTAATATGTCCATGTATTTAAAAAAAATACAGAAAACAAAATCTGTAAAATAAACAGGAAGAACCCTGTAAACTACAGATTTTTTTTACAGTGTTAGCTGTTTGTGTCCTGTTTTATTTGTATGCTCATTCTAAGTATAAAAACCAGAGTTAAATTCCTTGTATGTGTGCACATAGCTGGCCAATGAAAGTGATTCTGATTCTGAAGCTCGGCACAAAAGGAGACTGCATCTAAATCACAGGGATTCTAAAAATAGCGCTCTGTGAAGCACACGTTGACCACTCTCAGTGCTGGTGCCAGGTTGGCCTGCTGCAAAATAAATGACGTCACAGCAGCGTGATATAGAATAGCCCCGTCTGTTGGAGTCCCTGTCATTAAAGCTCCTGCTTGTGCCTCCATGTGGGCTGAGGGTGCACCTGCAGCCATCAGAAGCCATGCTATCATACAGCTCTGCCTAACATTTCTGTGCTATGTTCAGCTTTAAAGAACAGATTTTTTCCAATCAGCTTCTTATTATAAATGATGTATTCCTACACGAGCACAGCATTCTCTGCCAGTGCTGGAACACTTCTGGTTATTTCACAGGAGAGATTTCTTTCTGCACTGTTTTGTCTGTGCTCCTCTCGTTGGTCGAGCCCTGCCCACTTCAAACCAGTGACATAAAAGAAAAAAGAAATACAGAAATTCCTCATGTTAATGTTAAATAACCAAACCTGGCAGGAAATACTGTGTTCATTTAGGATCCCATCACTTATAGTAAGAAGCTAATTGAGAAAAATATGTTTCAGGACCGTTCCATATCCAGAAGGATTTTTTCCAGAACTTTAAAGGGCTAGTGTGTAGGATTTAGTGACACCACTCACGTCTGTATTTAACAACCTGGGAATGAGAACCGGCTGTGAAGTGTGTAGGAGGAACTATGGTGGCTGTGAAACTTTTTACATCGTGGTAACGAGTATGCAACTATCTTTCTCCACAGCTGTACTTTCAGCGTCACCTCTCCAACACTGGTGTGCCTTCCTCCTCCCTCTCATCCTTTTCTTTTATCCATGGAGCCAACATAAGCAGTTCTGGTTTTCAGGTATACGAGCTAACACTTAACCCAATCTTAGGAGTACAGACTAAAGTTATGGCTTCAATAGTGAGTAAGAAATCAGGAGCTGGTATCAACAAGTGACACCTCAGTCAGACTCGCTCTAAGTTACGGCGGTCCTGGGTGTAATTGAGCTAGGAATCACCTGCAACAACAGATCAAGAGTCTGCTGCTGCTCCTGGTAAACCTGCTCAAGAACAGGTTTACCAACATAATGTAGGTAATCATGGTGATCTACACTGGTTAACAGGCAGTTAACAGATCCCAAAGACAGAAGCTGGCTAACTCTGATCTGGCTTCATGATACAGGCCCAGGTTACAGTAGAAAGCAAACAATACCCAGATGAAATAGCAGCATGTAAATTCTCTAAATATCAGGGCTGTCCTCACCCTTAATGCTGATAAACCTTTACATTACAGCTCAGAAATCATGTTTCTTATTTAAAAGTGAACCTAGTCGAAGTCTAGAGATAAAGCAAACACACAAGTGACACTGATTCTGGCATATCTGAAGTCATTTAGAAGGTAAAAATGGAGATTTTCCTTACCTGGATTGGGGGTCTAAGGACAGAGGTTGTTGTACAGATTCTAAAGCCCACCTAAGGCAAATTGTGATTTGTGATTTTGGGATATACAAATAAACTTTGACTTGACTTGACTTAATGTGGACTGACAGAGCCCAGAGAGGACAGGCTCTATAGCGCAGAGTTTGTCCTTACTGTGCACTGTCTGAATTTTACAGTGCAGGGTGTGAGTAATGATCAATTACTTACTTAATTAGTGTAGTGTAGTGTGTGTGTGTGTGTGTGTGTGTGTGTGTTTTTTTAGATGGTTTAACTGCAAGATGGGCCAAATCGTCCAACGTTTATAGGCGATAAATTAGTATTGATATAGTGGAGAAAACAGGGTGCAATTTATCAAACCTCTTAGACCTTATTAATGGTACAAGATACTTTCTTACTCCTGTTTTCCTTTGTTTATTATTACTCAGCTTTTGAATGCACCTTTTTGTCTTACTGCCTATATAGATAGATAATAACGTTTCTTTTTGTAAAATAAAATTATTCATTATTCAGTCATTATTTCAGTTTTAGTCTGACTTTGGAAAGATTTTTTTTCATTCTATGAGAAATTGTCTTTTCTTTGGTGACAATCACAAGCAAAAATGTTACATATATATGTAACATTTATATGTAACTCCTATTCTCAGTGCAAATGACATTCCCATTTAATTAAATTCTCAGTGGCATGAAAATGTTTGGTTGGTTTTATGTGTCTCAACAATGTTTGTTGAAGCACAAATACAAACTAATAGTAGTGTCTAAAACAGGCACAGAATGTAGCAGTCAGTGTTAGTATTTGCTGCATGTTAGTTATATTCCTAAAGATTTTTATAAAATCATCACTCCATTTCAATACTATTTATGATTTTTAAATTCTGCCATTCCCACACTTCATTCAAGCTGCCCTCACACGCACAGGAAACCATTTTATCTCACTGACTAACTGACAAGGGGCATGTAAACAGCATATTCTGTTTGGATATTCCTTATTAGGCCTTATTCCAAATGGAGCATTTTCCGATTAAGACGTGGGCTATGCCAATATTATTCAGGTTTTAGGAGCACATTCGGAATATGCATCTGATCTGGGGTCTTTACTGCAGTTTGCCTGTTTCCGGTCAGCTCTGTGCATTGTAAACAAACCGACTAGCCATCAGTTTGCAAGGTTGGAGAAGACCACAAAGGTCACAATGACCAATACTTTCAAGAGTATATTAGTCAAAGTTCCTTCTCTTAAGTTACTGCTAATGCTAACATTTCCTGCTACTGTTACTCCACATTAAAAGAGTCAACTAGCATTTATGATAAACTGTGTGTTAACCACAGTCAATAATGCATCTATTTTGAAACTGATTCTTTGAAGTGAGCCAACAATAAGCAGAATATTATTTCACTGTACGTAAGAGCATTCCTTTGTGTCTCCTGATAGTTGAGTTTAAACTGCAGAGTTTCTTATTGTGCCTACCTTCTAAAAGCACAACACAGGCAAAAAGTAGTTGAATTACAATAACTTTTATCTTCACAGCTGGAAAAAAGGCATTATGGTAAACTGCATTAAAACATGTTAGAGGCACACTCATTCTGAAAAACAAGAGGTTCATCTTTGGCAAACAACAGGCTGTTGTAAATGCGTATATGAAAAATACAATCTATAAATATGAAACATGCTCTCTTGCTAATTCGGAGTGCTAAGTGCTAGGATTGTAACAATATTTCTTCTAGGAAATAGTGCATATTAGTGATTTTTCCTCCATTATTAATCTACATTTCATAAAAAAACCTACAGTTCTCTGGATATTTGAAGTAGTTGCTTTGAATCCTCTGATAATAATTCATAAATTATGATGGACAGAGCGACAATACCACAACTATCTAGAGTAAAAAGTCAAATGCAATTACATCAAGGCCACAATTTGGACTTCTTAGATAGTGGTAAAGAAAGTAAGATAGTAAAACAATTCAAAAGAGAAATGTTATGAGCATTAACAGACTTCATGTTTGAGTGTTCATCATCAACATGAAAATCTGAAATCTGTCCAGCGGTTGGTGGTTTCAGTCTCAGTGTCCCAGCGGCCGGTCGTCGTACGTGCTGTACCTCTTGACGTGGATTCGACGGACTCGCTCGCGAAGCTCGGCTCCTCCGGGCCCCTCCTCTTCCTCGCTGTGGGAGCCACAGTTGCTGTAGCTCCGACGAGTGGCTTCCAGCAGGGAGTTGTCGGGCAGCGGCATCGTCTCGTAAAGCAAGGTGTTCAGAGTCTCCTCGTATATTCGAGCTTCAGGAAATTCCACCTGTGGTAGAAAGAGACAGATAGCAACTTTTTTTCTAGATTTTGAATAAATCTGTTAAATATGCACTCAAAACAATCAAAAGGTCAAAAAAAAAACACACAAAGAATTCACACTGTCTGTCAGGGTTAAGTTAGTACAAATAACTGTACACAGCCTAAGATCCAGCTTTAAAAAAAAAAAAGAGACCTTCAGACTCTTTAGGGTTGCTCAGAGTAATTTCTGTGCCTGCAGTGTGCAATTATTGTAAGTGTTGTCAGTCATAACACTCCCCCCCCCTTTGGACAGATCATAGTACTTAAAACCACACAGCTTACTACCCCCCACTGACGTAATGAAATGTGACAACACTATCATTTCTGTATTATTTACTTGCAAAATGTACTGTGCTACTAGTGCATTGGTATATCATATAAAAAAAAAAAAAAGTATTTTGAAATTACTTTTAAAATCATTTTTTGAGGAAACACACACATACAGTGCCTTGCAAAAGTATTCACCCCCCTTGGCTTTTTACCTATT